TTCCTAATTCATTATGCAAAGGACATGTTAATGTCAGACTACTCTCTTTATTTAATCATACAAAGTCCAGTTACAATCTAGTCTTTTTATTTTATTTAATATTTGTATTTTATTTGCCTGCAACAGCAAGGGCTGGGCCAGGTGAAAACCATCAGTTTAGCGTTCAATCCAGGTATTCCACATGGATGGCAGGAACCCAAGTATTTAAGCCATTACCTGCTGCCTCCCAGAATGTACATCATCAGGAAGTTGGATCAGAATCAGAGTCAGAACTCAAACCCAGGCTCTACAATATGGGATGTGGGTATCTCAAGAGGCATCTGAACTATTGAGCCAAAAATGCCCATCCTACATTTAGTATTTTAAAGAGTTATGTATTTATTTTTGAATGTCAAAATTACAGACAGAGAGGGAGAGACAGAGTGATATCTTCCATCTGTTGGTTCATTCCCCAGATAGCCACAACAGCCAGCGCTCAGCCAGGCTGAAGCCAGGAGCCAGGAATTTAATCCTGTCTCCAGATGGGTGGCAGGGACCCTAGCACTTTGGCCATTCTCTGCTGATTTTCCCAGGCCATTAGCAGGGAGCTGGATCAGAAAAGCAGCAGCCAAGACATGAATCAGCACTCAAATGGAAAACTGGCATCACAGGCAGCATCTTTTACCTGCTATTCCACAGTGATGGTCCCATGCATTTAGTATTTCAATTGGGTATTTTTATTGAAGTCTAATTATATACAGAAAGCTGTAAAAATCATAAGCATATAGCTTGGTGAAAAGTCAGCATGCCTATGGAATTACTTCCTAGGGGAAAAAGCAGTAAAATATTACCCACTAAGACTGGAAATCTAATTTCCTATGTTCTTTAGCCCATGCTGAGACAAGGCTCCTATAAAGCCCTCCATACACCCATCCCAGCCTCTACTATTGCCTCAAAAGTAACTAACATCCTAAAGAGCATTGATAACATTGATTAATCTGGTCACCTATACAAATATTAAATAAAAATTAAAAAGACTAAGTTGTAACTGGACTTTATATATGATTAAATAAAGATAGCAGTCTGACATTAACATATCCTTAAGAATAAACAAGGGGCTCTTCCAGTCCAGCTCTCTGCTGTGGCTGGGAAGGCAGTGGAGGATGGCCCAAGTGCTTGGGCCCTGCACCGCTATGGGAGACCAGGAGGAAGCACTTGGCTCCCGGCTTCACATTGGCTCAACATGGCAACCGTGGCAGCTTTTAGGGGGTGAACCAATGGAAGGAAGACCTCTCTGTCTCTCTCTCTCACTGTCTAACTCTGCCTATCAAAAAACAAACAAAAAAATAGATAAACAAGGGGCTGGCACTGTTGCATAGGGAGCAAAGGCGCCGCCTGCAGTGCCGGCATACTATATGGATGCTGGGTCAAGTCCCTGCTGCTCCACTTCCAATCCAACTCTCTGCTTCCAATCGGCCCGGCTCTGGATGTTGAAGCCATCTGGGGAGTGAAACAGTGGATGGAAAAACTTTCACTCTGACTTTCTCTCTCTGTCTGTAACTCTACCTCTTGAATAAACAAACAAACCTTTAAAAAAAATAAACAAAGTATTTGGTGTCTGGATTATTCAGTTCACATTATGGTTCAAGATTAATACAGGTTGTTTAATGTAGCAGTTCTTTCTTTTCATTGCTATCATAAATGTTTATATGAATAAATCACAATATAGCCCATCAAATATGACACATTTAGATTGAAATTAGGACTATTCTGATTATGATGGCACAAACTTGAATATATATGAGATGGGTTTACAACCTGAAGCCAGGCACCCATTGAAGTTGGGCTCCTACCATCCCACAAAAATGAAACAGGAGCCTTGTTTTCCTTGATTGCATCGCAAATAAAATGGCTACAAGGCCCTTGAGAAAAACATTTGTGGCTTTCAAACTTGGCAAAAGGTTTGTTTTGCTTTAGAAAATGTTTACACTCTGTCAAAAAGAGGTAGAGAAATTTCTCAATTACAGTTTTTCTAAGGTAAATGCTCTAGTTTGGGAAGGGAGGAAAGTCTTATTCATTTTGCACGAAGTAGAATTTAAGTTTTCTATAAATTTATTTAAATATTAACAATTTTTAACATCTTGCTATATTCAGTAGACATATACATACACATATTGCTATTTTTCTTTTTTTAAGATATTTTTATTTATTTGAGAGGTAGAGTTACAGACAGTGAGAGGGAGAGATAGTGCCAGCCCCCTTGATTTATTCTTAAATATTGATGTTTAATGCTAATATAAGCGGAAAAGCCTTTTTAAAATATTTTTCCGATGCTTGTGATAACAATAATAAAAAACTCAGTTTATTTATTGGCCTGTGTTTGGGTACTTTGCTACATTCTCTTAGGTTACTAAATGATGGACATTTTCATGTGAACAAAATCAGGACTTCTATAAATAATCACATAATATTTGATATTTTCCTTCCTTGTTTCACTGGCTAAGGAACAGTCCAGAAACTTTTAACATTTTTGTTGTATTTGTTTTGTAGAAACTTTTTCACATCAAGGTGGTTTCTTTATATTTCTAGTTCATTAAATGCCTTTTTCAGGAGTGAGTGCTCATATTCACTTAATTTAACATATATACTGAGATGTAACATTGTTATATTCTCTCAGTGTAATTAATTGGTCTTTGAACTTTAACCCAATAATCTTCAATTTTGAAAATGAACACCACTTGTTTATACTGTATTGTTTTCTTTAAATTTGATTTGCGAGTATTATGCTTTGGATTATTTTAAAGCACTTGTGAAGTTTGTCTTCAGTGAAGTCCTCAATTCATTAGACAAAATGGGTAATATTCCCTCTTTTTCTGTGTTCTGGGGGACTGTATAATTTCTTTAGTATCTCGTAGAATTCATCCATGAAGCCATCGGACTGACTTGTTTGTCTTTAACTGTATCAGTGGTGCAATTAATTACATATATCTCTTCTATTTATTGCAGTGTTTAGACATTCACCAACTGTTGAAACATTTTCAGAGACACAAAGAGGGCTGAATGGTTAAATCGGAGTCTGAGAACTCTTAACTAAAAATGGCTTTAGATCTTACAACTTCATTGAAAAGGAAACCATCCAGGAATGATCTTAATCCAGACAACCCAGAGTTGACAACAACCCAAGAATCCACTGTCCAGATGGAAGAGACATCTGAGGGCTCGAGCATAGTCGACACATTTCAGTACAACAGTAACGCAAGTTCAAGGCAGGAGCTGCAGAGACTCCTTGAGTCTTTTTACTCATGGCTGCAGCCCGAAAAGCACAGCAAGGAAGAAATGATCGCTCAACTGGTTTTTGAGCAGTTTCTGAAGAGTGGCCATGCCAGGGACACATCCACGTTGAAGACGAAATGGGAAGCAAGAGACAGAAACCTGGAGAAACTAATGGAAGACCTAAATGATGATTGCACGAAGCCACCTGTCTTAGTAAGTCAAGGGATCTGAGCCCTGGGGGGAGGAAACAGGGAGGCGAGAGTCAGGTGGAACCACCTGGAGGTAGAGACAGTTATTGTAGACCCCCTTATTAGTCAGAGTACTCTCCCACCACTCTTCTTCACCAAGGAGAATTTCCATGGGTTTAAGGAAGCAAGAAAAAAAAAGCAAAAAGGTATGTATTTGTTCTGTAGCACATATAGGAGCCAAACATGGAGCTAATTTTGTTTGGTACGGTGGCAAGGGACTCTGAGAAATTAATATTTGAGCTAAGAACTCAAGGATGAGGAAGAAATGCCTTAAAAACTGGTTATTTTCCTCAAAAAGGCTTATTGTGATTTTTATCTGGAAAGATATTAAATCACAATGAATCCTCATTCTTTTTTAAGTTGTTTTTAAAAGATTTATTTATTTATTTATTTATTTGAAAGGCAGAGAGAGAGAGAGAGAGAGAGAGAAAGAGCGAGTGAGAGTTTCCATCTGCTAGTTCACTCCCTAAATGGCCACAACAGCAAGAGATGGGCCAGGCTGATGAAGGAACCCAAAAGTGGTGCCCTTTTGTGACGACCCCAGAAACACAGACTCCAGACCAGGCGATGCAAAAAGCAAGAGGCAGTTTTATTTCATTTGCACAAATGGGCCCTCTGCTGCTGCAAGCAGCGGGAAAGAGAGAGAGAGCCCCGAGCAATCATTTCACACAGCTTTTAAAGGGCAAAACCACAAGATTAACATATTATAGGGTGGCTTAAGTTCATTGGGCAACTAGACAGTTGGGCAAAGTACATGGACAAGGGGAGGGGGTCATAGAGGAAGAGGAACGGGTGGCTACGTGCCTTATGTGCCTTGCGGTTTCTTTGTCAAGCTTGAGCAAGCACAGGGGAGGGGGTTTCAGTGGAAAAGTACTAGGTCAAAAGGGCACGATGGGGAGGGGTTGAAACTGTTTGTCTTAAGTTCCTGTTTTTCTATTTTATCAAGGCCACTTTTAAGGCAGCTCTCGGCGGCTCTCGGTGGCTCTTGGCCACTCCCTTCAGCTGAAGCCAGGAGCCAAGACTTCTTCCTTGTCTTCCACATGGGTGCAGGGACCCAAGGACTTGGGCCATCTTCTGCTGTTTTCCCAGGCACATTAGCAGGGACTCAAACTGGCACCCACATGGGATGTTGGCACTGCAGGTGGAGGCTTAATTTAGACCACAGTGCCAACCCCGAATACTCATTCTTGTATCTCATATTTTAAAACCACTAAAATTCACTCATAACTTCCAAGCCAATACCCAAAGCATGTTGTCATCTGCAAACTTGTGTAGCGTGGCAAAAAAAATTTATTGAGTCATCTGCTGAGCACATTCCAGATGGTGGTGAACAAGTCTACATTCTGTTTCAGCTCTCAATTATTTCATGCATTTTCACACTTGTGCTTTTTGTTGGTAATTTAATTTTTTAAAATAATGTGTGTGCAGTGCTTAAGTGCTGTTACTACTATTCCTAAAAGCAAGAGGATAGTATATCTTATGAACTCAATACATATATTAGATAGTCTTCCTTCAGGCATGAGTTAACAATGTTTTTGGCCATTAGTACAGTGTTAATTAATCGAGAAAATATATATTAAATATTCATAAACACTTTCGGTATATACGCACATAAAGTTAAGCCGTTGGAGAAAATACTGAGGCCACAAGCTCCCAGGGCACTAACACTGTATTTTCCTAGAAGCAGTGATTCAGTGCTTGCACACCCAGTGTCCACAGTGACTGTAGAACATAGCAATAAGTTGGCAATAACAAGAAGGACGCCATCAGAAACGATGGCAAGACAAGGAGATGAGCTCGAGTTGAGGGTCTTGTGAAATCCTGCCGAGGGCTGGACTCCCAGAAGGCCTCTTGTCCTACAACAGCTGCAGACTCAACGGTGATCTGACTTTGGTTACAGGTCCACGTCTACATGCAGGGACAGGAAGCCCTTTTTTCAGAGAATATGCCTCTAAAAGACGTCATCTTTTACCTCAAGAGACAGCTGTCAGCAGGAACCCCAACAGCAGACAACACGAGGACACCCTTATGTACTCGCCACGGCACTTCCGTGGCAACAGCACAAGGTGAGTGAGGGGAATCTGCGTGCCAGAGAAGTGTTCTAGTGAGCCCCTTCCTGCGTGCAGCTTCATTGAGTGATTTCTCTGTTTTGCAGAAGAAGAAGATGGCTGCAACGCTTCTTTGAAGACTACTCAAGTAAATGACACTCCTACCAGTCAGAGTGATCAAATCATTTCCCTAGTCATTATCCAGGAAGAGGACAGTCCCAGCAGTTCTGAAGAGGGATGTGTTTCTCTCGGGAACACACACAGTTCTAGAAGTTCAGAGCAAGGCATCCAGGGGTCCCAGGAAGGATGCCTAGAGGGGCCCTCTGAGCAACACGGCCCCATGGAGGTGAGGACAGGGCTCTTACCCAGTCCAGATGCGTCCTCCCCTGAGCCTGCCCCTACCAATCAGAGTAGTGAGGGAAACTCCACAAGTGGGGGACATCAAGAGAGGTCCCACAGTGCCTCAAAATCATATGAATGTGCGGAATGCTCCAAGGTCTTTAGCTATCCCTGTCACTTGATAGCTCACCAGAGAAGACACAGAAATGAGAGGCCATTCGTTTGTGCTGAGTGTCACAAAGGCTTCTTCCAGAATTCAGACCTGCGTGTGCATCAGATGATTCACCAAACAGAGAAGCCTTTCGTATGCAGCACTTGTCAAAAGCCTTTCAGCCACAAAACCAACTTGAAGGCTCATGAAAGAATTCACACAGGCGAGAAACCCTATACATGCTCCTTGTGCCACCAAAGCTATCGCCAGTCATCCACATACCACCGCCACCTGAGGACGCACCAAAAGACTGCTCTCAAAAATGCTCGCTCCACTCCAGACGCCTCCTCAGCTTCTTCCCTGATGTGATGTGTGTGTTTCCATACTATTTAGAATCTATTTAGAAGACACTGGAAAACTATTTAGAAGATTCTGTGAGAACTCAGAAAGTCTCTGGAGCTTGCTCCCGGCTCTTCTTGGGTCTCCACACTTAGACACAGGTGTTAGAAGTGAGCCAGGGAGGTGAGCATTGTTGCCAGAGCTGAGACCGGTTGGCCAGAGCCCACAGGGCTCCAGTTGCTTGAGTCCTTTGGGCGGAACTATCCAGAGGAAGCTGATGGCCCTGAGGTACACCTTTAACAGTGGGGCACACTGCTCACAGTTGGCTAGAACAATGTCCACATTGTCCCCTGGGATTTCTGAACTCATTAATGTATTGCAAGTGGCTGATATTGTATATGTCTAATAAAGATCTGTTAGATGAGTGAATCTTTATCATTGATGTCTACAATCCAGGAATGTACCCTCACACAAGAAGATAGTAAAGTTCCAACCTAGAAGACACAGATACTGTTACTAAGCCTGAAATCAGGTACCTACTATAAGAGAAATCAGTGGGCCAGCGCCGCAGCTCACTAGGCTAATCCTCCGCCTTGCGGCGCCGGCACACCGGGTTCTAGTCCCGGTCGGGGTGCCAGATTCTGTCCCAGTTGCCCCACTTCCAGGCCAGCTCTCTGCTGTGGCCAGGGAGTGCAGTGAAGGATGGCCCAATACTTGTGCCCTGCACCCCATGGGAGACTAGGATAAGTACCTGGCTCCTGCCATCGGATCAGCGTGGTGCGCCGGCTGTGGCGTGCCAGCCGCGGCAGCCATTGGAGGGTGAACCAACGGCAAAGGAAGACCTTTCTCTCTGTCTCTCTCTCTCTTACTGTCCACTCTGCCTGTCCAAAAAAAAAAAAAGAGAGAGAGAGATAGAAATCAGTAACACAGGATGAGGATGGGGAAAAGAGAGGGGAGAACCTTTATTTTAAATGCTAGCAACCAGAGAGGTGGCAGGCTAGCACCGTAACATCCAACCTCTCCATGAAAGGGTCAGCGTTTAACAGAAACTGAGTTAGCTCCATGTCCACAATCATGCAACAGGCGTGTATGGGGGTGACTTCAATTTAAGTCCCCCAAGGGTTCATGTGCTGAAATTTAATTCTTATTGTAAATTATTAAAAGGGTAGAAACTTTGGTGTTGGCTGGGGGGGGAGGGGAGTCATTAAGATTAAAGAAGGTCACTGGTGGTTGAGCCTTATGATTGAATTACCGGTGGCTTTATAAGAAGAGGGAGAGACCAGAGGAGAGACAGACACACATGGTCACTCCCTGAATCCTGCAAGACTCTGCCAGCAAGAAGGCCTTCGGCAGACGTTTAGCCTCAACCTGGGCCTCCAGAAGTGGAAACCAAAGTAAGCCTTTTGGTGAAAACTCAGTCTGTGTGGTATTGAAGTAGACACACAGGTTAAAATTGATCAGGTCTGTGAGCTGGAAGACCATGCCTTCACCACGCCCCTGTGTGGCCTCAGGCCCCTACCTGGCCACACCTGTGCACCAGGTTAATTAAGCACTCCCCTTTGAGAGTGAATTAAAAACCTGGAACAGGGTGTGTCCAAATCCTTTCCTCCCTCCCTCACCCAGGCCTCTTGCCAGGAGGGGGCTGGCTGTAGCCCTGCGCCTCTAGGGTGCATGGCCTTCAGGCAATCCCCCCTAGAATTCCTGGGCTACTACCCTAGACTTCCTGGCCTACCTGCCCTAGGCTTCCTGGCCTACCTACCCATAGGCTTCCAGGTCTAGATGCTCTTCCACGTGGCTGGTTCCTGGTACTCTTATGAACCCAGATTTAGCCCTCTCTCTTAGATAAAGCTCTCACTCTCCTGTGCATCTTTCTCACTAAATAAAAGCTTAAAATGTACCATGTTGCCTCGTTATTTATTCTGGCACTTAGAATTCTCTAAATATGAGGCAAGAACCCACTTGGGCTTATTAATATTGGGGATTTATTAATAAGCATATGGTGATATCAAATGGTACCCCAAATTCCGATAACATAGGTGGCCCACCCCAGATGGGACTGCTGGGGAACTTGAAAGGGGCCACATTCCTATATATTTTTAAGGGGTCAAATTCTGATATCAGTATTGTGCTAAACAGCAACAGAAAATGAATTAAGACACACTATCTGGGATATTTTTTCTCTTGTCTCTGGTAGAAAACAGACTGAGAAGGTAGCTTCAGCACCTCAGAGTGCATGTATTTTAATTGGAACACAACAGTGTTTATCAGCTTCCCTACCAGTGCACACATTTTTGTGTCTGAGTGAGTCAAATAATATTCACACGTTTTTGGATTGGTAGTCTCTGTGGAGCATACAGAACTTTATGGAGTTTGAAATAATAGATTTCCACAAGTGGGTAATAAGTTGCAGACAGAATTCCTCAGGTGTGCTGTTTGGTTCCGACTCCCTCCCCTGCCCTAGGTCTTGAACACCCAACTCCAGCGCCCTCACCTCCGGAGTTCAGACTTTGTTCCATTCCGGTCTCGGAATGAGTGAAACTACATTACCCAGAATGCTCCGCGCCGCGCGGCGTTTAGACGAGCCAATGAGAGTCAGAACGGAAGAATCTCGGTGAGGGGCAGGACTTCCGGCCTCCGCCTCGTGGAGGCCATAGTGGTTTATCTTGGGTGCATTTACTGGTTCAGAGACTGGGGCGCGCAGCGTGGTTGGAGGAGAGGGACTGAGAAGGTGCGCGGCGTGGCGACGCCGCGCTGTGTTACCTGAGCCCGGGCTGCGCTAGGAGCCCTGCGCCCAAGTCCCCGCTTCGCCCGCAGAGTTCAATGGCGACAGGCGCGCGGCAGGACCTCGCTCAGGTCAGTGCTGTGTCTGGCGGGCCCTCGCCTGGCCGAGCCCTGCAGCTCCGAGTGGGGCGCCCGCCCACGGCACTGCAGTCCCGAACGTGGTGTCCCGGAGAGCGTGTGTTGGGCCGGGGTCGCTGTATCCGCCGGCACCTGTGGTGCGGTGTGGGCGTGTCTACCTGGCGGAGGGACTGGCTTGTGCAAAGGCTTGGGGGTGCGACTGAGGCGGGGGGATTTGGAAAACCCGAGGTCTGTCCCCTGCCCCGGACAACGAGTCACTTCTGGATGAAGGTTGTTCTGTGGACGGTTGAGGCCGGGGGGCGGGGTTGGGGACAAAGGACAGGCCGTCTCGGGGGCAGTTTTAAAACTACCGGAGACTGTTCAGAGGAGGAACAGAGTGCAAGGGGCCGTTGGGAAATTGCAGCGCTGTGATGCCGCATCCTTTTTCAGAGCCCCACGGGTGGCAGGAGGTGACAGCCAGCCCAACGCGTCGCGAGCCTGTTGAGCCACTTGGATGTATTCCTCTGAGCTCTGGCTCGCCGTGGTTCCCGTGGCTGCAGGCGCGCTTATGAAACCTGCAGAGGAACGCGGAGAAAGTGCAAGGCTCCCTACCCCCACCTACTATGATCTGCATTGCGGTGCCCTGGGCTCCTCAGTACTGTTCCTCCAGGCCCAGGGTCCTAGGTCAAAGGTTACATGTGGGGGTTCTCTTCTGACAGCCAAGGTTAAGGAATAGGAATCATCTGTCCGCTGTCCGCCGTGGACATGAATGACGAGTAGGGAGAAGTCAGGACTAAATGCCAGCCTGAGAAATGGAGTGCCTGTTCTGTAGGGTCAGAAGGGAGACATGGTCTTAGCAAAGTCATACTAGTTTCCATCGTGTGCAGAGTGGAGAACAGACTGTGAGGTTAAAGCAGAGGCAGGAAGAAGAGAATGGAGGCTACTGCCATGTCCAGGCAACGGTTAGCGGGCCATAGGCACGCCTCAGGAGATGTGGTTGCTTTCTGGGTGTGGATTTAGAATACGACAGTGAAGGAGTAAAGCAGGACCCCATGGTTTTTGTTTTAGCTGCTGTAAGAATGCGAACTTCACAAACAGATGGAGAATTCAGGGTTAAGAAAAACACTTGATTTGATCATGTTAAGTGAGGTGTTTCAGAAACCAGTGAATGGGTCGGCGCCGCGGCTCACTAGGCTAATCCTCCACCTGTGGCAGTGGCACCCCGGGGTCTAGTCCCGGTCGGGGCGCCGGTTCTGTCCCAGTTGCTCCTCTTCCAGTCCAGCTCTCTGCTGTGGCCGGGAAAGGCAGTGGAAGATGGCCCAAGTGCTTGGGCCCTGCACCCACATGGGAGACCAGGAGGAAGCGCCTGCCTCCTGGTTTCAGATTGGCACAGCGCGCCAGCTGTAGCAGCCGTTTGGGGGGTGAACCAACGGAAAAAGGAAGACCTTTCTCTCTGTCTCTCTCTCTCACTGTCTAACTCTGCCTGTCAAAAAAAAAGAAGAAGAAAAGAAAAGAAACCAGTGAATGGTGGTATTGGATGGGCAGCTAAACACATAGGTCTGGAAATTTGGCAAGTGGTTGCGGATGGAGACATCCAGGATAAGGTGGTTAAGGACGAAGGTGAGTAGGCTGTGGATCACATTAGGAGAAGCAGTATTTCCAGTTCTGATGTTACAGCTGTTACACTGCCTGGAAGGAGTATGAGGGAGCTGAGGCCTGGGCCTCTTGGTTGAATGTGTGTGATGGCATTGGGCTTTACAGACTCGGATGAGGGAGGTAAGTGGCTATGGAAGTAGCGTCTCTGACAGAATAGTTTGGCAAGTGGTGTAGACTTTCAGAGGAGTGGAGTGAGATGGATGCAGATGCATAGTTGTATTTGAGGCAAGATGACACCCAGGCTGGACCTGGTGCTTACTCATCATTCTGTGGAATCAGCAGAATTCTGTGATGACTCTGATGAAGTCTGGGGTGTTTCATTCAGCCCGTAAGAGTCATTTGACCTGGAGTGGGCAACCAGTGGGGCTGGTCTTTGAGTGTTAGGTGAACAGAGACAGGTTCTGACAGTAAGGCACGGATTCTTTTTGCTAAATCTGGGGCAAAGAATGGAACCAGGCAGGAAGTCTGCATAAGATTTGGGGTTGGCCGGCGCCGCAGCTCACTTGGCTAATCCTCCGCCTGCGGCGATGGCACCCCGAGTTCTAGTCCCGGTTGGGGCGCCAAATTCTGTCCCGGTTGCTCCTCTTCTCTCTTTCTCTCACTTTCTTTCATTTTCTCTCTGTCTCACTCTCTAACTCTGCCTGTCAAAAAAAAAAAAAGAAGAAGAAGAAGAAGAAGATTTGGGGTTGCCACCACTAATGTGAGCTGTGGAAGTCAAGTTTCCTTCCTCATTCTTCTGTTGATAATGTCTTCAGACACCACTTCTTAGCAAGAGAACCAGGCATAATTTCTGTGTATTCTTTTGTGGCAGATTTCAGTTCCTTGCTAACCCATGGAGTTATCCACATAAAACGATTGTGGAACCAGGGAGCAACTGACCCTTTTGGTCTTACCAACCATGGATCCTGTATCCCTTATTTGTCACTTTTTTCTGGACTTTGGCCCGTATGATATGTGTTGGCCTCTTCTCCCATGCTATGTGTCTAATCAACTACTGTGCAACCCATCTGTCCATTGTTGGGTGTTGGGTCTTGGCCATCCTATAACCCCAGGGTAGGAGTTTGAGCAATGTGGTGAAGTGGAAGTGATTAAACTGAAGTCACATGTGAGAGGGGGAGATGGCTGTGGTATGGAACAGTGAGGTGGTGGTGACTACGAGCAGGTAACTGGGTTCTGAAAAGGTGAGGAGTGTACAGTCTAGAGAATGAATCTGACAACACTAGGGTCCTGGTGTTGAGAATTGCACGATCTTGGACGTTTCGGGGTGGTAACCCAGCAGGAAGGGACAGGTTCTTCTGTGCCAGGCCCCCAGCTTAGACGTGCAGTTGTCCTCATGCCTGTTGTTGCTGATGGCTGCATCCCAAGATCAGTGAGTCCTTGAGAGGACGATGGTCCTGAGATTGATTTTCCACTGTGCTTTGGAGCTTGGGAACAGGATGGGCATGGGGTGAATATGTGGGGGAAGGGATTTGTGTTCTTGGAGAAGGCTATTTGTGGTTTCATCTGTCCCCACCCTGTCAGGGCAGTGTGACCTTTGAAGACGTGACCGTACACTTCTCCTGGGAGGAATGGAGGCTCCTTGACGAGGCTCAACGATGCCTGTACCGTGATGTGATGCTGGAGAACTTGGCACTAATAAGCTCCCTGGGTAAGGCCTTCAAACCCACCCATGTGCCCACGCTGTGGTTTGTGCCTTCCCCTCTTCCCCAGAGGCATGTCTGTCCTCATATCAGGACCAGGGGCTCTGTCAGTCTGGCTAGGTTTTGCAGTTAGTTGGGCTGAAGTGTATGTGCACTGCTGTCTGAGCAGCCCCCCATATATTTCTTTGCAACGTGCTGGGAAAGATTCAGGGTCAGGAGTCTTACGGGATCCCACCTTCCTTGCCTTCTCCGTGACTGGAAGTTTTTATCTAGATCTGAGGTTCCCCTGTGCCCCGGGCTGTATTTCCATCTTTTAGCTGACATTTTCCCAGCCTGGGTATGTGAGGCATCACCCTCACTGACATGGTCACACTTATGTTTTGCAGGGCCTTCCTCTGAAGTGTCCTTTGTAATATTTGTGTTTTTTTCCTGTGGAGTCCCATGTACTGAGTTTTTTCCTAATGCTGACTGCTCTTTTGTCTTGTCTTTCTCTTAGTACTTGGATCATCTAGGTACCTCTCCCTTTCCGTCTCCCTCCGTGTGTGTGTGTGTGTGTGTGTGTGTGTGTATCTCTCTCTCTCTCTCCTTTTTTTTTTTTTTTTGAGAGGCAAAGAGATTACCCGGATGCTTGAAGTGTCTCTAGCTGAATCTAAAGTCAGAGGCCCAAAATCAGTCCAGATTTCCCACTTGGGTGGCAGGGACCCAATTACTTGGGCCATCACTGCTGCCCCAGGGAGTGTATTCATAGGAAGCTGGTGTTGAACCCAGGTACTCTGATGTGGGCTAAATGTTGCCCTGTTTATCTTGAGAGTAAAGTAGGTAGCCCTCAGAGGTTCATAGGATGCCTGTGAATCCAGCCACAGCAAGATGGACTCAGAGGTCACCTGGCCCTGAGAAGTGGCATGAGCGGATGGGATGTCAGCGCTGTGTTAAAATCACGCCAGAAACCTCTTCTGTGTGATTAGTTATGTTGGTGCCAACACCAGTGGCCCCAGCTCATTTCTGCTTTTATCATTCCTGACACTATGTCCATTGTCAGCTCTACTACTTACTACCTTATATCTAGCCTGGAGCTAATCCCCACATCTCTGGACTCCCATGTCTCACCTGATTTTCTCACTACTCCATCTGCATGCGCCCCTCCATTGGCCTCTACATATTGTATCATGAGGCACACACACATTCCTAAACAGTCCTTGAAGATGCACTGCTTTATTGGAGTTGTATTTTCTTGAACCTAACATGCTATTTAACACAGTACTCACATGTGAGTACAACAGACAAGGTTTTGCCAGATGCTGTTTACAGAGGATTAAGTTTTAGGTCCTATCTCTCTTCTCTTTAACACATAGCAGAGTTGTGTTCTTTACCTTGTGAGTTCTCTCCCATTCCTTGAGTTTTACAGCCCAGTATGCCTCATTCTCAACCTGAATCCATCTCCCTCATCTTGCAAGCAATCCCATGGACTTCTTCCTGGGTTTGTCAGACACATATGTGTATAGAGGCTTCCCTGTCCCACCACAGTCACTTCACCAGCATTTCTTGCTTTTAGGCTGTTTGCGTGGAGTGGAAGATGAGGAGGTACCTTCTGAGCAGAGTGCTTCTTTAGAAGGAGTGTCCCAAATCAGGACTTCCAAGGCAAGTCCATCTCCCCAGGAGGCCCACCCCTTGTGTGGTATACGGCCTGATCTTGAGAGACATTTTCCAGGGAACAGGCTGGACAGGAACTTTGCAGGTGTGGGGCCTGGGGGAAGTGACCATATTTCAGTGCAGGTGTGCATCAGCACCAGACTCAGCACTGTGGAGAGAAAGGTTTCAGAAGCAGCAGTGTGGGCTGAGCCTTGTTTGTGAGGAGCTATACATGCCATGTGTCAGGGGGTCCCTTTACTGGAAAGGAGTTTGGTGAGGACTCCCTAACCAGCCTCAACTTTCTCCTTGAATAGGCCACTTGTACTGAGGAGTCAAACAGCAGAGTCCACTGTGGAGTTATCTGTAACGGTGGAAAAGTTGATTGCAACTGTGGAGAACACTCACTTGTCCAGCATCACAGAGCCCTCACCAGAGAACGATGCTATGTGTGCAGTGAATGTGGGAAGTCTTTCAGCAAAAGCTACAGCCTCAATGACCACTGGAGAGTTCACACTGGTGAAAAGCCTTACGAGTGTGGGGAGTGTGGGAAATCCTTTAGGCAGAGCTCTAGCCTCATTCAGCACCGGAGAGTTCACACTGGAGTACGACCTCATGAATGTGAGGAATGTGGAAAACTGTTTAGCAACAAGTCCAACCTCATTAAACATCGGAGAGTTCACACTGGAGAAAGACCGTATGAGTGCAGTGAGTGTGGGAAATCCTTCAGTGAAAGTTCAGCGCTCCTCCAACACCAAAGTGTTCACACTGGAGAAAGGCCTTATGAGTGCAATGAATGCGGCAAATTTTTTACCTATCATTCCAGTCTTATAAAACACCAGAAAGTTCATAGTGGGTCAAGGCCTTATAAATGCAGTGAATGTGGCAAATCATTTAGTCAAAACTCCAGCCTCATTGAACACCGCAGAGTTCACACTGGAGAAAGACCTTTCAAGTGCAGCGAATGTGGGAAATCCTTTAGCCAAAGCTCTGCCCTCCTTCAGCATCGGCGAGTGCACACTGGAGAAAGGCCTTATGAGTGCAGTCAATGTGGGAAATTCTTTACCTACAGTTCCAGTCTCCAGAAACACCAGAGAGTTCACACTGGATCCAGGCCTTATGAATGCAGTGAGTGTGGGAAATCCTTCACCCAGAACTCCAGCCTCATTAAACACAGGCGAGTTCACACTGGAGAAAGACCTTACGAATGCACTGAATGTGGGAAATCCTTTAGCCATAACTCTAGCCTCATTAAGCACCGGAGAATCCATAATCGGTGAAGGCCTTCTGGGTGGCACATGTATAAAATCATTTAGTCAGAGCTCTGACCTCATTACACACTGGAGAATACATCTTAGAAAAGCCCTTCTGACCACAAGGAGTATGAGAAATCCTTCAGTTGAGTGCCTTACATCATCAGATACCATAAAGTTCACATGGACTAATAATAATAAAAACCACCTGGGAAGTACTGCTGCAGGAGATCCTTTCTAAAAATGCATCTGCCTGAATTGAGTCTCATACATCCAGACGTCTGCATAAATTCCAGGTGCATGAGATTCATTGCCCTTCCTGACTGGCTCAGGGGCTTTCCAGTTGTGTCATTGCCAGTGCTGAAGCAGAAGCCACTTCATCTCTGCCACGTGGCGGTGCCCACGGTGTACGCCATTCAGCCCAGTATATTCAGGTAAGTGAACGGAAATGTTCTCCCATTCACAGGAATCTGTAAGCAGCACGAACATTTGTCCTCTCATTTCTTTCTCTCTGAGGAGTTAGTGCATGGACCTGACCCAGTTTGGCCCAGAGAACTCTGCTGGTGCCTTGAGAGCTGGACTGCATTTTTCAGGGGTGTTGTTGGTCTCACAACTCTTGCTAGAACTTTCCAGCTTCCAAATAACCAGCTGTGGGAGTTGTCTGTCCCTTATTACGCTGGTTTGTACAAAAATAAAGTCATTGTTCAAGCCATCATTTGTTTCAGGGGTTCTACTCCCTATATAGGGTGCTTTGAAAATAACTGAGTTCTTCAGTGAAGAGGTGAGCAGCTTTTGTTGGAATTCCAAACTCTGTGTACCTCAGAAGACATGGTATAATGGCAGAGTACAGCTTGCCGAAGGCAGCTGCTGACCAAGGAAAGACTGGAAGATACTGTCCACTGTCCTGATTTGTATTCTGAGTGCCATGATAGGGTGTGGGTTCAGAGCACAGTCTGAAGAGAGGGGCAGTTGTGACCGTCTGGTGTAGCTGGGAGCAACATGAAGTCATTCTCATTCGTGGGGAGTATTGTATCAGGCTAAGCACAGGTAGGAGACCTGTTCCTCAGGTCTTCCAAGGGATCTGTACACCTTGATAGCCTGAATTCCATATGGTGGCATCGTAACTTGTAAGATTATAGCAGGAATTACTGTTGTTACATAAATATGGGATTAATGAGTGGGAGAAACTGCAGTAAACTGGTTGAGATATGGCTCTTTTACAGGGACATGAGGGGAGATGGTGGAATCAACATGTCAAATATGATTTTCCAAAAGCAGTAGGCAATCCAGTCTTATTTTCACAGTATTTTTCTACTAAACTAAATTATTTGCAATAAATGGCACATATTTATACTGTTTGATAAATTGTTACACCATCATTATAATCATGATGGGGAGTCCACCCATCACCCCATAGGTACAACTTGATTTACATTAATAGATGAGTTTTTATTTTCTGGAACTTTATAAGGTTGAAACCATAAAATGTTTATATTTTTCCCCTGGTGCTCTCATACAGCATGTTTACCTTAAGATAACATGCTGTTTAACACATTAACAGTTCCTTTTTACATTGTTGAGAAGTACGATATTCTGTGAATATCTTACTATTTGTTTATTCATCTGCTCATGGATATTTTGACATGTTTACAGTTCTAGTTTATTGCAAATAAAGCTGCTACAGATGTTTGAATATAAGTTTCCACCTGGATATGTTTCATTTATTGTATTGATACTTCAGAGTACTGAGCTTAATTTATACCATAGGTGAATTTGTAACTTCTTAGGAAATGCCTAACTCTTATCTGACATGGTGGTTCTCTTTGGATTCCTGCCAGCATGCAAGAGTTACAGTTATTCCATATCTTTGCCAGTAATGGATATAGTCCTTCAGTTTTGACTTATTTGATCAGTGTGTAACAGTATTTCAGTGTGGTCTTAGTTGTATTTCCCTGATGTTTCATTATGTTGGGCATTTTTTCACTTGTTTTTCACCTGCACATATGTCAACTTGGTAAAAATGTCTTCATATCTTTTGCACATTTAAAATGAATTTTTGACAGTTCCTTTTTCATTAACAAGTAGAAACTAAAACAACAGGTTTATGTTGGGACTTCATTCTTTTTTTTTTTTAAGATTTGTGTATTTATTTGAAAGGCAGAGTTATAGAGAGAGAGGTAGAGACACAGAGGTCTTCCATCCACTGGTTCACTCTGTAAGTATATACCTTATTTACAAATATTTTCAATTATTTTTTTTTCCTTTTAAAAGAGATTCATTGATTTATTTATGGAAGACAGAGTTACAGAGAGCAGGAGACACAGAGAACGAGCTCTTCTGTTCACTGGTTCACTCTGCAAATGCCTGCAGCAGCCAGGACTGGGCTATTCTGAAGTCACACCTAGGAACTCAGTCTGGGTCATCTAGGTAGGTGGTAGGAAGCCACGTACTGGGGCCATCCTTCTCTGCCTTACAGGTTGCATTAGTAGGAAGCTGGATGGAAGCGTAGAGGAGCTGGGGCCGGAACCAGGCACTCCACCTATGTGAGCTGCAGGCATTCCAAGTGGCAGCTTAACCCACTGTGCCACAACACCTGCCCCCACATTGCTTTCAAGTAAATGAAAGTGATCAAAAGAGTTTAAATACCATAGAGGGAAAGCTGACTTTTTTTTTTTAACAGAGTTAGACAGAGAGAGAAAGGGATTCCTTCCGTTGGTTCACCCCCAAAATGGCCACTACGGCCGACACTGCACCAATCCGAAGCCAGGAGCCAGGTGCTTCCTCCTGGTTTCCCATGCAGGTGCAGGGGCCCAAGCACCTGGGCCGTCCTCCCCTGCCTTCCCAGGCCACAGCAGAGAGCTGGACTGGAATAGGAGCAACCGGGACAAGAACCCGGCGCCCATATGGGATGCCGGCACCACAGGCGGAGGATTAACCTTGTAAGCCATGGTGCTGGCCCAGAAAGCTGCCTTTTCAAAATTTACAATCTATTTCTTCAATAAATTGATGATTTGGTTTATATTGATTTTATTTTTCTTTTTAAGATTTATTTATTTATTTGAAAGGCAGAGTTACAGAGGCAGAAGCAGAGAGAGAGAGAGAGAGGTCTTCCATCCACTACTTCACTCCCCAAATGGCTGCAACAGCTGGAGCTGGGCCTATCAGAAGCCAGGAGCCTGGAGTTTCTTCCAGGTCCCTATGTGGGTGCAGGGGCCCAAGCACTTGGGCCGTCTTCTACTGCTTTCCCAGGACACGGCAGAGAGCTAGGTCAGAAGGAGAGTAGCCAGGAGTCAGCTGGTGCCCATATGGGATGCTGGCACTCCAGGTGGCAACTTTACCTACTATGCCACAGCACCGGCCCCTACTGATTTTCATTTAATAGTTTATTACCTGAAATTCCTGAGTATTTTTTGCAAGTTCTTTATATTGTATCTATATAAACCCTGGAAATGTATAATCCATTTCTTGAAATGCTTATATATTAATTTGAGTCCCTGTGTATATATATATTATTTATGGGACTTTAAACTTGAGTTCAGGGGCCAGCACTGTAGCTGGGCACCAGTTCTAGTCCCAGCAGCTCCACTTCCGATCCAGCTCTCTGCTGTGGCTGGGAAAGCAGTAGAAGCTGGCCCGAGTTCTTGAGCTCCTGGACCCGTGTGGGAGACCTGGAAGAAAATCCTGGCTTCTGGCTCCTGGCATTGAATTGGTGCAGCTCTGTTCATTGCAGCCATGTGGGGAGAGAACCAGCAGATGGAAGATCTCTCTTTGCCTCTGCCTCTCTGTAACTCTTTCAAGTAAACAAAATCTTTAAAAAATAAAATAAATGAGTTCAGAATCATCACACTCCTTAATCACTGTTTCTAATCTTTAATAAAAATTCATACATTTTATATATATTTATTGTGTGGTATTTGTGGGGGCTTGCTTACTAGATTAATTTTAACAAGACTGAAAATTAACAGAGCAGTAGGTATATTACAGATAAAAATTTCAAGATAGAAACAAATGTCTATTAAATCCCATGCTAATAGAGTATTGATATTGATTTGTATCTCTGTGTACCACTTTTTTGTTTATAAAAGGCAAATATTTTGAAGCTTTTGCTGAGTCCTATTTGAGATTCCACCTGATTTATCATTTGGCTTGCTGCAAAAATCTCCAACAACTTTGTAGAGACTGGAACAGATGTTTGTCCACCATGTCCATAGTAGCATTATTCACTAGAGCTAAAAGGTGGAAGTAGCTCAAGTGTTCATTGAAAGATGAATGGATAAACAAAATATCTGTGTTGTGCTGTGGCACAGTGGGCTAAGGCTCTGCCTGCGGTTCCAGCATCCCTTATGGGTGCCAGTTTGTGTCCTGGCTGCTCCTCTTCTGATCCAGCTCTTTGCTGTGGCCTGGGAGAGCAGTACAAGATGGCCCAAGTGCTTGGGCCCCTGCACCCGCGTGGGAGACCCAGAAGCAGCTCTTAGCTCCTGGCAGCAGGTTGTCTCAGCTCTTGGTGTTGCAGCCATTTGGGGAGTGAATCAATGGATGGAGGGCCTTTCTCTCTGTATCTTCCTTTAACGCTGTCTTTCAAATAAATAAAATATTTTTTTTAAAAACAAGTATTGTATGATTCCACTTATTGTTAGGTATCTAGAATAGGCAAATCCATGGAGACAGTGTGTAAAGTAATGTTTTCTAGTAGTGGGGGCAAAAGAGAAATAGGAAGTTATTGTTTAATGCATTCTCACTTTCAGTTTATGAAAACAAAAGAGATTTATGGTGGTGACAGTTTTACAACATTGTAACTGTACTTAATGCCACTAAGAATGGTTAATTTCATGTTATTTATATTTTAATACAAAAAGCTGTGATATCTTAATTCATATAGACCATTTTTATACCAAAAACCTGTATCTAAAGAATTACATAGTATCTTTTTATAATCAAGAAAAAAGTTTTGTAATCTTATCCTTAGGAGTCATGGCTTATTTATTCATGTGGCTATATACTCCAATTTCGTGAGGAATTTCTACTAGGTGGGAGGAGAAGAAAAGATGTACATAAATGAGTATTATGTTAAAATAGGCAAAAGTGAGTTATGAGACAGGATGCTAGAAGTCAGAATATGGAGATTCTCTTGGGGAGTTAATGGGTTAAAAAGGTGGATGCTAGGGTTGCTGGGAATCCAATAACTATTCCATTTCCTGATTTAGATGCTGGTTAGAGAAATTCATTGGATCTTGGGAAATACCGTTTTGTTTGTAGAAGTTGTACGCCTATGATACATGGACTTTGCTGAATGTCATAGGTGAAATTTACTTGATGCATTTACACGAATAATCCTCCTTGGCCACTCAGCAGGGAAGTGTACCCTTTCCGCTTCTCCCTGCCATCTTTGCTGCTGTTAGGAACAAACATAATTGTGTTGATGCATGGCATAAGGAAATTAGTCTTTAATATTGAGCAGGAAATATTAAGCGAATAAACAGTGTTGCTCGATGAGTTGGTCACAGTCTCGGAGCACATGAGGAGTGTTGGGGTCACGTGAAAGGAGAGGCAGGACATGGGAGCGCTTCCTCTGCAAAGCACCGCGGGACAATCCCCGCGTGTTTCTTTATTGATGGATCACATCAGCCATTTGTACAGCGCATGCACGTGCTCTGATAGCTAAGGTTTCTTTGAAACAGGTTTAGCAAGACCTATTAGATAAGCAAGTCTGGGAAAGCAGCTGCATGTCCTCTTGGGAGCCAACGTTCCCGTGGGAATTCAGTGCTCCTCTTGTTAATAGGTGGCTTACTGGGGCTGGCGCTGTGATGTAGCGAGTAAAGCCACCACCTGCAGTGCTGGCATCCCATAGGGGTGCCAGTTCGAGTCCCGGCTGCTCCACTTCTGATCCACTCTCTGCTATGGCTTGAAAAAGCAGTGAAAGATGGCCCAAATCCTTGGGTCCCTGCACCCACGTGGGAGACCCAGAAGAAGCTCCTGGATCCTGGCTTCAGATCAGCACAGCTTCATCCATTGAAGCCATTTGGGGAGGGAACCAGTGGATGGAAGATACTGTCGCTCTCTAACTTTGCCTTTTAAATAAATCAATTAATTAATTAAAAAAAAACCAGGAGAACACTTAGATATTTGCTCAATATTGGCAGATATGTACACAAATATATATATATATTAAAAATAGGTCATGTATTATCCCCCCCCCTTTTTTTTTGACAGTGGACAGTGAGAGAGAGAGAGAGAGAGAAAGGTCTTCCTTTTGCCGTTGGTTCACCCTCCAGTGGCCACCGCGGCCAATGCACCGCACTGATCCGAAGGCAGGAGCCAGGTGCTTCTCCTGGTTTCCCATACAGGTGCAGGGCCCAAGCACTTGGGCCATCCTCCACTGCACTCCCGAGCCACAGCAGAGAGCTGGCCTGGAAGTGGGGCTACCAGGACAGAATCCGGCACCCCGACCAGGACTAGAACCCCGTGTGCCAGCACTGCAGGCAGATTAGTCTATTGAGCTGTGGCGCCGGCCAATTATTCTTAAAAAGTTCTGTGGCCACATCCTGTGTCCAGCAGGGTGTGTCCTCAGTGAGGGTGCTGTGGCAGGAACCTGTTCCCACAAAAGAGAGGCTCCCTTACCCTGTGTTTTAGGGTGGCTTAAATATCACTTCCTCTCCAGCTTGTGACCCTGACTAGCAACATTTTTTTTTTTAAGATTTATTTATTTGCAAGTCAGAGTTACACAGAGGAGAGAGAGAGAGAGAGGTCTTCCATCTGATGGTTCACTCCCCAATTGGCTGCAATGGCTGGAGTTGTGCCGATCCAAAACCAGGAGCTTCTTCCAGGTCTCCCATGTGGGTTCAGGGGCCCAAGGACTTTCCCAGTCCAAAGCAGAGAGCTGGATCAGAAGACTAGAACATGGGATGCCGGCGCTTCAGGCCAGGGCATTAACCTGCTGCGCCACAGTTTTATTCTTAACTGAGTAGTAGGGAATTGCAGAATTGATGTTGTGGCTTCTGACCATGTGTCAGGTAGCAATAAGGAATTTCTTTTCTTGTGCTCCAGCTGTTCCTTGATGAACTCTGAATAGCTGCATGGAATAATAGATTAATTTGGATCTGCACCCTGTGGGACTATCTGAAGAACTTTTTAGCCTCTGAGAGCATCCAGAGCTTCAAAGTCGGAAACCGTGTCTAAACACGTTAAGTGATCACCTGGCGACGACACTCCCCAGAAGTCTGGAAGAGGCTTTTTTTTTTTTTTTTTTTAAGTTTTTTATTCAGTGGGAGAAATGCTTTGGAGAGCGAGGGCCCTATTTAAGAGGGGGGGGAGGAAATCTGGAGTCATATCCAGCACCAGGAGCCAACCACATGAGGAGCATGCAGACCAGGAAGGCCCCAAGGCCACAAGCTCTGGAGGTGCTGGGCAACACAGGCTGCAATGGCAAAAGGCCAAAAAGAAGGGTCGGGCCCACCATGTTCCAGGCCTTTAATCCACTTCCAGAGGGGCGTGGTTAATTAGCCTGATTGGCCGGTGGGCGCACAGGTGTGGTCAGTTAGGACCATGTTCGTCACACAGGAGCCTGGTGAAGGTGTGGTCTTCCAGCTCACAGATCTGATCAATTTTATCCTATACGCCTGCCTACAACATTCCTCCCTCAGAGACTCCATTCACTTAATTTTTTTTTTTTATATTTGAATTGGAGCTCTGGACTCAAATTGTCACCCACATGAAAGTCGGAGTTACACAATGAGGATAGGCAGAGAAAGAGAGGTCTTCCATCCGTTGGTTCACTAATTGGCCGCAAAGGCTGGAGCTGCACCTATCTGAAGCCAGGAGCCTCCTCCGGGTCTCCCACACAGGTGCAGGACCCAAGCACCTGGGTCATCCTCTACTGTTTTCTCAGGCCACAGCAGAGAGCTGGACCGGAAGTGGAGCAGCCGGGTCTTGAACCGGCGCCCATATGGGATGCTGGCACCACAGGCGGTGACTTGACCCACTGCACCACAGTGCCAGTGCCCATTCCCTTAATCCTAAGGGATGTCAAAGAGCATAGAGTCATCACATCTTCTGTAGCTGCTTCCTGCATATGAGGGGTGTAGTGCATGCCCTGCCTGTCTTGGGTCTGGAAGCCTCTGTCCTAACAAATTCACTTTGTGAGCTGGAGCAGTATTTGTCACCGCCAGTGTCTGTGTCCCCTGCATGGTCAGTTATTCCCAGAAGTCGAGTTCTGAAACATGTCTGTTAATCAGCATACGCAAAACTGGAGCAAGACCAATTTTAAGTAGAGTGTCCCTTAAGATGAAAAGAACGTTATCACCAGATGGTGGTGATAGATTATAAACCCATTTAGCTTGAGCATAGAGAATTATAATAGAGGAACCCTTTAGGAGTTTATTGCCAACAGCAGTTCCAGAGAGAATCAAGAGAGGCAGGTGCAGCATGTCTGCCTTAAGGCGCAGCAGTCAATGTGACGAGGTGAAGGCTTTATTTACTCTTTCTGCTTTAAAGAGGTACTCGAGGCCTCTGATTGGCTCACAGGAATAGCCAAGTGTGTCTTTTAAAGAGTTCACCTGTGAAGACTTCAACGGTAGAAGTCTAATCCTATTTCACTGAAGCAGTTGTGCCCAGTAGCACCTGGTACGGCTCCTTCCATTTAAGCTGCAACTGATCCAAAGGATCCGGATCTGGAAGCGGCCTTTTAAAGCAGGGTTAAGAACCTCCCTCACCTGCTGGCTGAGCCACAGCGGCCCGCAGCTCCCAGTGTTCAGAGATCCAGGCTAAGGATGGCCATGAGGGCACTGGAAACTGCCTTACCCAGAAGGCAACGCACCAAGTGGGGCTGGGGTTTCTGCGCATGCGCCTCGCACCAGGCCTTCCGGGATCTTGCTTGTGGCGGTCATTTTGGCTTCCCTCGGGTCTGTTCCTGCTCGGCACCGTGACCGGAACAGGCCTAACCCGAAAACAAGCCAACGAAGCCGTTGTTGGCGCTACACAGAAGCGGAGTCGCCCGGGTGAGCCGCGCCGCGCTGCGTGATGGCTGTGGCCGCTGAGGGACCCGGCTGAGCTAAGTGTTGCGTTCTCCGGGGCTCTCCCTCATCCCGAAGCTCCGACTGAGGGGAGCCTGGTGCTGTCCCTGCAGCCCAGGAGGGGGTGCGGGGGAGTGTGACAAGCGTGCCAGGGAGCGACCAGCGCGTGCCGGGGTTTGGAAGAGTGACTGAGCCGAGATTCGGAACCCGGAGTCGGCCTCGTGTCTGCACGGCGGAGTGCGAGTCCGAGTGTCAGACCCTGGGCGCCCGGGAGGTTGTGCAGAGAGGGACACGGCCTGAGGGTTCCAAAAGCTTCCTGCGGGAGAGACGAGTTAATAGCTAAACCCGAGAAGACAGTGCTTGTCCAGGCTCACAGCTCTGCTCCAGGGTGGGCAGTCCCTCTCTCTAGGTTCTCACTCAGAACTGGCTCTGGAGCCTGACCTGGGGAGTGGCATGGCCATCGCTGGTCTTCACCCCACCCAGGGCTCCGGGTGAGTGATGTTCTTGGACCTCTCGCCACTCTTCTTGCCTTGGACCTGGGGGCTTTTGAACAGACACTAAAGCTGTGATCCAGGTCGTCATGGAGGAGCATATGAAATTGCTGGCAATAGCAGGCTGAGATGTAGAATGTCGTCCTTGGTAGTTACCAGTATATGTGGGGACTTGGAGGGGTGGGCTGAGCTGGTTCAAGGACCCTCAGGTCTCCTCTGTTTCAGGTGGGAACACGAAGTGTGGGAGGATTTGTGCATCGAGACAAGACACCAAAGCCTCTTTTTTTTTTTTTTTTTTTTAAAGATGTATTTATCTGGAAGTCAGAATTACAGGGCGGGCAGAGGCAGAGAGAGAGAGATCTTTGATCTCCTGATTCACTCACAATGGTCAGAGCTGGGTGGATCCAAGGCCAGGAGCCAGGAGCTGCTTCTGAGTCTCCCATGTGGGTGCAGGGGCCCAAGGACTTGGGCCATCTTCCACTGCTTTCCCAGGCTATAGCAGAGAGCCGGATCGGAAGAGGAGCAGCCGGGACTCGAACCTGTGCCCATATGGGATGCTGGCATTCTAGGCAGCACCTTTACCCACTATGCCACAGGGCCAGTCCCCCCAGGCCTCTTAACTGGAACTACTACTCTTTTATTATGTCTGCATAAGGCCCAGGTGAAATTTTTATCTAAAATGAGTCCTGAACAAAGAAGTGTTTTCCCTGATGAATGGTTTTATGTGTATATCACTGATGATGTGATGTTACTTTTTACACACATACTGAGCCATAAGCTGGCCATCGTTAACCTAATTGCTTTGTACTAACAAGCAGAACCTGAAATGATGACATACAAGCAGATAGGGACTGCAGTGGAAACATTCACAGGCAAGCAGGTAACAACGCCATCTCATTCCCTTTTTCTTCTGACCTTGGGAAGGCCTCTATCACACCTTTAATCATGTCCGTCAGAAAAAAGCTTTTCATGATTTGACAGAGAGAGAGAAAGGTCTTCCTTCCATTGGTTCACCCCCCAAATGGCTGCTATGGCTGGCACACTGCGCCAATCTGATCCGAAGCCAGGAGTTGGGTGCTTCCTCCTGGTCTCCCATGCGGGTGCAGGGCCCAGGCACTTGAGCCATCCTCCACTGCCCTCCCAGGCCACAGTAGAGAGCTGGACTGGAAGAAGAGCAACCAGGACTAGAACCGGCACCCATATGGGATGCCAGTGCCACAGGCGGAGGATTAACCAAGTGAGCCATGGCGCAGGCCCCAGAAAAAAGTTTAATTAAAAGACAAAGGCCTCTTCCACCGGACAGGTGGGGCAGGAGTCAGGGTTGGAATTCACTCTGTAAGTGGTTGTAACAATGGAAGGTTTGAGTAAAGAAAGGTGATCCAACCCAGATCTCCTCAGGCTTCCTGTGGCTGTAGCCTGGGATGAGGGAAGTAGGAAGGCCAGGAAGGAGGCTACTGGCATCACCGAGGTGAATGTGATAGTGGTTGGAGTCATGTATGACTGCAGAGGTAAAAGAAATGGAATCTGGATTAGTTTTTAGGCAGACTGCTTGATTTTCTAATTTAAGGGCAAGGGAGAGAGAGAGATGACTCAAAGGCTTGATTTTTGGCTGCTACAAGGATACAAGCTACATCAACTGGGAAGGGAAGATTGGCAGTAGGAGTAATTTTAGTGAGAATGTCAAGAATGTATTTTTGGTTCGTTAATATGAGAGGGGCCAGCGCTGTGGCATAGCGAGTAAAGCCACCACCTGCAGTGCCAGTATCCTATATGGGCGCCGGTTCAAGTCCTGGCTGCTCCTCTTCCGATCCAGCTCTCTGCTATGGCCTGGGAAAGCAGTAGAAGATGGCCCAAGTCCTTGGGCCCCTGCACCCACATGGGAGACTCAGAAGAAGCTCCTGGCTCCTGGTTTTGGATTGGCACAGCTCCAGCTGTTGCGGCCAATTGGGGAGTGAACCAGCAGATGGAAGACCTCTCTCTTTGCCTTTCCTCTCTAACTCTGCCTTTCAAATAATTTTTTTTTTTAAAGAGGGACCAATGCTGTGGCACAGTAGGTTAATCCTCTGCCTTCAGTGCCAGCCAGCATCCCATATGGGCACCAGCTCGATTCCCGGCTTCCCCACTTCTGATCCAGCTCTCTGTATGGCCTGGGAGGGCAGTGAAAGGTGGCCCAAGTCCTTGGGCCCCTGCACCTACGTGGGAGACCTGGAAGAAGCTCCTGGCTTTGCGGCCATTAGGGGAGTGAGACAGGGGATGGAAGACCTTTCTGTTTCTCACTCTCACTGTAACTCTAAATAATAATATGAGAAGGGGGGCTATTGCCATTGATTTCTCAACAATGTTGCAGTGGATTTGTTTCTGAGAGGAGCAGCATGGTGGGGGCAAGAGGTGCAGAGTCACCACACAGACCCCGGGAGTTGGGTGAAAGCAGGCTCGAGGTGAGCAGCCCGCAGACTCGTTTATTACAGCTGGAACTACATCTTATATAGCCAAGACCAGCCAATCTGGTCAAGGGGCGGTCTATGCCCCAACCAATCACAGCCTGTTGCCAGGCAGGCTCCGTTGCCAGGTGGATTTCAAAGCCATTCCTGAGTAGCTGACACTCGCCAGTGGCTACCTTGGCATGGCCTTCTCATTCCACCACATTTCCCCCTTTTCATTTATTTTTGACCAACAGGAGGCATGATTCTTGGCCATACCATTGTTGACCTGAAGAACCAAAGTGACTCCATTTTTAAACAATAAAAAAAGCAGCCTCCATTTCCCATAGCAGACCCGGGTCCTTGTAAAAGCAGGCATTCAGGCATTCTGGAGATATCAAAGCTTACCAGGGACAGCTAGCTGGGTAGACCAAGGACAGCACAGTAGAGATTGCTGAACAAAGTAACTCCCTGTACCCAAAGCTTCCATGCTGTATGTAACTCTTCCTGCTGATGTAGCCCTTTTTTTCCTTTAAAAACTCTCCCAAAGACCGGGGCATCACTCCTTCCTCCGCTGTGCCGGTTGGTTGGATGGGGTCCCTGTTGCGGCTTGTACTCCCAAGTAAACCTTGCTTTTGCAGTTCAGTGTGATCGACTCTCTGGGGGTCTTTGTGGGGATCTAACAATCTGGGCACAACATACTCTTTGGTGCCCAACAGACCCCATTTCCATGTGGTCTCCATACGCAGCTGTGCCTGTCTTAGGTTGTCCCCCAGGGGATCTTACCCATCATTGACTAACCAGCGCTCAAATCGAGAGACCACAGGATTGCTTGCTCAGATAGGGGTAGGAATGAGGAATAATGGTTATCAGGAATGGCATGACCGCACACAGGCTGTGGGCCATTTGAGGGGCTGACCAGAGCTAGTGGGGTATAAAACAGTAACAGGCATGGCTATGGGCAGTTTCTCAGGGTAAGATGATAGGGCAGGTGCGTCTGCTAACAAGGCGGAGTCTCGGTCTTGTTCAGCTGGTTCTGGTTGGCTGTCAGTTGCAGGCTTGATGTTTCCGGCTGGTACCCAAATGGGCTGTTCCGCATTCTCTGGAAAGACACAAGCATATCCTCGACCTTTGGTTAGCAGAGGGTGTGGTCCTATCCATTCTCCTGTCAGGGGGTCTTTCCACCTAACCATAGGGGCTGGGGTCTGGGATGGAAAGGATCCCCAGTGTTTATAAGCTGGGCTGATCCCTTGGGAATCAAAAGTAAGAAAATTGATAGTGAAAAGGACCTCAGTCAAAGCAAGCTGTGGGTCTGAGGGCATATGATTGTTTCTTTGTAAGAGATCTTTAATCGTCCTATGAGTTCTTTCAATGATTGTCCCTGTGGGTTGTATGGGATACCTGTGGCAGACTGTATGTTCCAAGATTTCAGGAAGGAATTAAATTCCTGTGATGTATACGCTGGCCCGTTATCAGTCTTTATGGTCCAGGGGACACCAAGGACCAGCATGGCTGATTTAACCGCCTTTATCACATTACTAGCTTTTTCTCCGGATTGGGCTGTTGCAAATACAGCCTTTGAATAAGTATCTCCCACCACATGGACAAACGTAAGTTTACCAAAGGAATTAATGTGGGTGACGTCCACTTGCCAGAGCTTATTAGGAGCAAGGCCTCACAGGTTCACTCCTGCTTGTTGCAGTGGGCCTAAGGGGGTGAGGGGTGCGCAATTCTTGCAAGAGTGCACTAGGTGTTTGCATTGGCTCATTGTTAGCTCTGGGAAAAGCAATTTTATGCTGCTTGCTGACATATGAAATTTTTGGTATAAAATATGGGCTTGTTCTAAGTGTCCAATGGAAGCCGTGTTGCAGGAGATAAGACGATCAACTTTTCTGTTGCCTCGGAAAATAAAGCCAGGTAACTCAGTATGTGATCTTACGTGTGAGATATACCATGGGTATTTTCTGTTTTCAGTTAGCTCTTTAAGTGTCGTGAACATCTGGTCAATTGGCTTATTGGTCAGGTTAAAGACTGCAAAAGGGATCGTCTTTGCTACCTGTACTGAGTATTTGCTGTCCGAAAATATATTTACCGGTCCATCTTGGCTAAGGAGTAGAACCTTGACTATTGCTCTTATTTCTCCCAACTGTACTGATCCCCCATGGGGTTCTACATTGATCTTACCTTTTTCTGTTAAAGATTTGATCACTATTCCAAAGAGTGACTTGTTGGCATCCGTAAATGCACATGGTGCCATGGGTATAGGTTGATTAGCAGGGAAAGCATGTTTTGGATAGTTTATTTCTAAGGTTTGTAGTGTCTGGAGTAGCCTGTCTGCTGGCAAGTGATTGTCAATCTGTCCTGGAAAATTGATCATTAAAGTTTGAAAGAGCGTGCTACTCTGCATCAATGTCGCCAGTTCTAATTGTGATAGTGGTAGGACCACTATGTCTGGCTCTGTGTTAAATATCTTATTGGTATAATATCTTAAATTAAGTCCCATCATAAGGATGGCATCTACTTTGTTTACTATTTTATGACAATCGCTCCAGGCTATGTGCACCCAAAAAAGTGGTCCGTGTCGTTGCCAAATAACTCCTAAGGGGGCCTTGAGGGTAGATATGGTTATGGCAAATAGAGGCACCTGAGGGTCATATCTAAAGGTTTTTAAATTTGATAACTGGGTGTTAATCTTTTCTATAGTGGATTTGGGTGCAGGTGTCAATGATTTTTTGAAGAAGGGCTGTTTCCCTTAGTAAATTGTATAGCGGTCTAAGTTCTGCAGGTGTTAGGGGAAGGAAGGGCTTCAGCCAATTGATTTGGCCATGTAGTTGCTGAAGTTCATTAATTTGAGTATTTACGCTTGACTTTTAGGTTTGGGCCCATTGGAGATGTATGGGAGGAGATTTGATAACCCAAGAATTGAAAGGGAGGAAAATGTTGTACCTTTTCTGTGGCAATAGATAAACCCAGGAATTGTAAATTTCTTACTGTCTCAGGCATTCAGAATTGCTGCATTCTTGTTAGCAAGTAAGATATCATCCACATAATGTATGACCAAGCACTGATCTTTAAGTGTGCTGGTCGCATGAGAAACATATCTTTGGCAAATGGCTGGGCTATTTTTCATGCCTTGTGAGAGTACTGTCCACTGGAATCTTTTTGCAGGGAGCTGGAAATTGGGCCCCCATAGTGTAATGGCAAAGTAAGCCTTATCCTGCTCCACAATGGGAATGGAAAAGAAGCAATCTTTGATATCAATGGTAACTATGTGGTATCTGTTAGGAATGGACCCTGGATGGGGAATGCCAGCCTGGAATGTTCCCATCTTTTTTGTATTTTTGTTAATGGCTCTCAAATCCTGTAGAAGCCTATATTTTCCCTGGTTTTTTTTTTTTTTTGGGGGGGGGGGGTCAAAAAAATGGGTGTGTTATGAGGGCTACTGGAGGGTTCTATGTGTCCCTTCTCCAATTGTTCCTGTACTAGTTCTTTAAGGATGCTAAGTTTGGGTTGTATTATTGGCCACTGCTCTACCCAGATGTTTCCTGTTTTTTCCCATTCAATGGGGATTGGGCTTGGCTTTTGTATGAGGTGAGCATTGGCCTCTAGAATTTGGGGTGAATCCTACTTGTAGACTCTCCATTAAAGCTGCTGGCTTGTGGTGATTTGTGATCCGTAGTAAGGACCGCTTGCATTTGTGAGAGCACATCTCTCCCCCATAAGGTCATGGAAACCTCAGCAATTAGTGGACAGATGGTTCCTGTATCTCCATTGTCATCTCACCATGTTACAGGCATGATGACCTGATCAGCCAATTTTAATCCTCCAACACCTTGGAGGTCAGGTCCAGATGCTGTCTTCCAATGTCATATTTTTCTTGCGTTCCTAGCTTTTAAGACAGTAACATCTGCTCCTGTATCAATTAAACCCACAAAGGCAATGTCATCTAAATATAGGGTCAGTTTCGGCCTCAGATTGAAGATAGGCATCGACCAGTTAATGGTGGTGGGACTCCCTCTTACTTGCTGGGCTGAGGGCCGCCCCACTGGGAGTTTAAAGGTTTGGTCTTGCAATCTTTTGCCCAATGAAAGCCTTTTTTACATCTGGGACACAGCGTTTTGGGCTTGCCCCATCTTTTAGCGTTTGGGCAGTTTCACCGAAGGTGTCCTATTTCCTGGCATCCCCAACAAACTGGAGGGTCATTAGACTTCTTTGTGCTCAATTTGTTAATGGCTGCAGTCAGGGCCTGTATGGGTGTATCAGCAGGGTTGACCGCCTTTGTGGCTACTATCCATTTAGAAATGTCTTCATTACGGACTGGGGCGATTGCTGCTTTTGCCTCTTTGGTAGCACCTTCCCAAGCTAATTGTTTGACCAAATTGTCTTGATCGGGGCCAGGCAGTAGTCTTTTCTCTACTGCCTCCAAGACTCTGGCACAGAAATCGGGGAAGCATTCGCCTAGGCCTTGAACTAGATTTCTAAAGAGCTGACTATAATCAGGAGGATTTATATTTAAGGCTTTAATTGCCAAATCTCTGACCTGATCAAAATAGGCAACTACTCCAATGCGGGCCTGTTCTTGAGGATATATGTAGGTGCCGCGGCTTGTAAGCATATCCAAGGTTACTGCTATTCCATAGGCAGCATTAGTCCTCGCCACAGTTTCAGCCTCTTCCTCATAGGAGGCTTTCCACTGTAAAAACTGGTCTCGACAAACATGCTTTGAGCAGTGTAACCCAGTCAAAATGAGTTTGAAGGTTTGCTGCCCATTGTGTGAGTCCTTGTTCAAAGTAGGGAGAGTCAGAACCTGACTCTTGAAGCCTTTTTTAGCATAGTAAGGTCATTTATGGGTGTTGGAATCCATGGCCTGAATTCTGCATCCACTCCTACATTAACAGCAAATGTGCAGGTGGGATGGGGTCCAGCTGCTGCCCTAAGAGCTTGGGGTGTCCGAGTACTGCCACAAATGTGGGGATCCTCAATGGGTGCGGATGGGATGACCTCGAACGAGTTATTGTCTAGAGGTCCTCTTAGTTCATCCCACAGGTATGTGGGGGGTGGCCGACTAGGCATTGCTACCTTGTTTGCTACATTGTTTTTTTCACTGTCGGAGCTCTCTCTCCCTAAGTCATCAACTGTTGTCTGTGAGACAGGGACCTGGAGTGTCAGGCTCTTATCACTCACAGATTCACTATCTTTGATAATCTGCACAGATTCTGAGAGGGGGGTATCTTTCCCATGTCTGAGCGCTTAAGAGCAGCACGGCATGCCAGCTCTAGCCAAAGGAAAGACACGCACAACACTGCTGCCATAACAAAACAAATTCCTAGCACCTCGGCGGCTGATGGCATTTTGCAGGAGGTTTCCCTACATCAGACAAACAGATAGTGGTGTATCAGATCGTAAGTATGTCCTGTGCTTAGAGGGGGACTTCCTTGATTCGTTAGGTCAAGGCCGTATGCCCACACGGTGTCTCCGGAGCGTCACCTCTCTCGAGTGAGGGAAGATGACTTGGTTCCGAATTCTGGGATGATCAGTCCCTTATATGAATTTGCCAGGTGAACTGAAAGTAAAAGGAGGAGCCGAGAAGCGACGTACGCTTCTGGGCGGTGTTTGCCTAACCTGGGGTCACTTAGACCAAGGACAAGGACAAGGAGAGGGGCATAGGAGGGGGTTCTGTGCTCACCCTCACAGAACCGAACAGCACACAAAACACCAAGGGGCCTTCTTGCCGAAATCCAGGGGGGACCTCGCCGAGTCCGACATGCTGTCTCTTTCTCAGTCACCTTGGGCGCCAGATGTTGCTGTTGATTTCTCAACAATGTTGCAGTGGATTCGTTTCTGAGAGGAGCATTGTGGAGGCGCGGAGTCACCACACAGACCCCAGGAGTCGGGTGAAAGCAGGCTTGAGGTGAGCAGCCCGCAGACTCGTTTATTACAGCTGGAACTACATCTTATATAGCCAAGACCAGCCAATCTGGTCAAGGGGCGGTCTATGCCCCAACCAATCACAGCCTGTTGCAGGCAGGCTCCGTTGCCAGGTGGGCTTCAAAGCCATTCCTGAGTAACTGACACTCGCTTGCCAGTGGCCACCTTGGCATGGCCTTCTCATTCCACCACAGGGGGCCAGTCTTTGTTGTGGCATAGTAGGGTAAAGCTACCACCTGCCACACCAGCATCCCATATGGGTGCTTGTTTGAGTCCTGGCTGGTCTACTTCCAATCTAGCTCTCTGCTAATGTGCCTGGGAAAGCAGCAGAGGATGGCTCAAGTCCTTGGGCCCCTGTACTTAGGTGGGAGACCCAGAAGAAGCTCCTGGCTTTGGACTTGCCCAGCTCCGGCTGTTGTGACCATTTGAGGAGGGAACTAGCAGATGGAAAATCTATCTCTCCCTCTCTCTGTAACTCTTTCATAAATAACTGGAGGAAAAAAAAGAAAAAAAAAGAATAGGGCAAGGGCAAGTGTTTGCCCTAGCAATTAAGCCACTGGGTAGGATACCCACATGCCACACTGGAATACCTGGTTTCAATTCCTGGCTCTGGCTCCTGATTCCAGCTCCCTGTTACTGTGGATCCTGGGAGGCAGCAAGTAGTTGGGCCCTGCCACCCACATGGGAGACCTGGATTGAGTTCCCAGCTCCTGGCTTCAGCCCCCTGGTTATTGAGGGCATTTGAATCATGAAACAGTGGATGTCTCTGTCCCCTCTCCTGGGTGTTTGTGTGTGTGCATCTGAGATAAATTTTAAAAAAAAAATTTTTTTTTAAGAATTTGGGAACTTTCTGCCGGCACCGCCATAGCTCAATAGGCTAATCCTCTGCCTGCAGCGCCTGCACACCGGGTTCTAGTCCCGGTCGGGGTGCCGGTTCTGTCCCAGTTGCTCCTCTTCCAGGCCAGCTCTCTGCTGTGGCCTGGGAGTGCAGTGGATGATGGCCCAATTGCTTGGGCCCTGCACCCGCATGGGAGACCAGGAGAAGCACCTGGCTCCTGGCTTCGGATCAGTGCGGTGTGCTGGCCGCAGCGGCTATTGGGGAGTGAACCAACGGCAAAGGAAGACCTTTCTCTCTGTCTCTCTCACTGTCCACTCTGCCTGTCAAAAAAATTTAAAAAAAATTTTTTTGAGAACTTTCAGAGAATAGCTCAGTGAGCACCTGGAAACCATAGGTGTTAAACTGTAAACTATGAGAAGTTCAGGATGATGACTTACAAAAGCTGGAGAACAGAGGCCAGCACTTTGGCACAGTAGGTTAATCCTCCGCCTGTGGCACTGGCAGCCCATATGGGTACTGGTTCTGTCCCTGTTGATCCTCTTCCAGTCCAGCTCTCTGCTGTGGCCCAGGAGGGCAGTGGAGGATGGTCCAGGCTCTTGGGCCCCTGCATGGGAGACTGGGAAGAAGCTCCTGGCTTCGGATTGGCGCAGCTCAGGCCATTGTGGCCATTTGGGGAGTGAACTAACAGAAGGAAGACCTTTCTCTCTGTCTTAACTCTACCTAATAAATAAAAATTAAAAAAAAAAAAAAAAAGCTGGGGAACAATGTGTGGACCAGAGTGGAGCTGTGGGTCACATTTAGTGTCATAATAGCAATGATAGTAGGCCGGCGCCGTGGCTCACTAGGCTAATCCTCCGCCTAGCGGCGCCGGCACACCGGGTTCTAGTCCCGGTCGGGGCGCCGGATTCTGTCCCGGTTGCCCCTCTGCCAGGCCAGCCCTCTGCTGTGGCCCGGGAGTGCAGTGGAGGATGGCCCAGGTGCTTGGGCCCTGCACCCCATGGGAGACCAGGAAAAGCACCTGGCTCCTGGCTCCTGCCATCGGATCAGCGCGGTGCGCCGGCCGCATCGCGCTGGCCGCGGCGGCCATTGGAGGGTGAACCAACGGCAAAGGAAGACCTTTCTCTCTGTCTCTCTCTCTCACTGTCCACTCTGCCTGTCAAAAAAAAAAAAAAAAAAAAAATAGCAATGATAGTAATTGCCTAGGAAAGGCAAGAGAGAGCAGTAGACTGGATCTGATGCTTGGACCCCTAGTTGTGGAAAGTATGTGTTATAACACAGGTCACGGAGAGAAGTGTTCAGGGCGATGTGGGAGAGAATGGTCTGATACATGGGCAAGGCTTCTCAGGCATATGTGGGCATGTGAAGGCCTAGGATTAAATCTGGCAAGATTTCATTGGTGCTAGTGCTTAGATGCAACTCTGTAGACTCATCAGGATTGTACTGTGATGATTGGTGGCTGGACTCATGTCAACCTGAGTCACTTCACTCAGGCTCATAGATTAGTTTGGGATCATGAAAATCTCTAAGCCTGGGGTAAAGACCCATGTCAGTTGGACCTTTTGAGAGAGAAAGGATATGACTAGCAAGTGGACAGCAAGTGCAGCCCAGAAGAGGAAGTGGGACATGAGTGACTGGGATCTACAAAATAGTGTCCAGGAGAGAGGCCTTTATGGCAATTCAAGGCTGCCTCTGGCAGTGGGGACAGTTAGTTTGGGGTAGTACTGAGTGCTGTTTCAATTTTCCAGCCACTCTCTACTCCATGAGCTGAAAAACCAAAGAGGCCAAGGAGATGCTCATAGCGTGGAGCTGTGGCTGTGCATATGAAGAGAGTACACTTACCGCCCTGGGGCCACAGCATTAAAGGCAAAAAGGGGAAACAGTCCATGTTTGATAGTATCTGTGAAGCAGGATATCAAAGGCCTAGGAGGATTTCCTGAAGAGATTCAGCCAGATGGCACTGATCTGCCAACCTGCTCACTGGTGCTACGCATGGACATAACAGTGTGACCATCAGGAGGGAATAAACCCCAGTGGCACCTGGGTCTCCTGTGTCCTCTGAGGTAGGGAGATAGGGAATAGGGTGGGCAGGGGATGAACTGGAGGAGGTTGGTATGAATTTGCAGTCCTAGGAAGGAAATTTTTGATGAAATGAACTGTCATCATGGTGGGGCTGTGTGATTTTCATATTAAGACTGTGGGAAGGCACCTGTGTGAGACATGGTTCAAAGTGATATGACGCCAAGAGAGGAGAGTGAATTTGTGGCCCCATGGGAGAATTGGTGTCATAAGGGTGTGTGTAAGCACGTGTTAGAATGATCTGGGGATCTTGGGAGAATTGCCTGTGAAGACCAACATGAGATCACCCATACATCTTTATGCCCAGTTATTTCTCCAGCAGTATTTGTGACACCCACCACATAGACTAGAGGTGGTGTGGCCTGCAGGTCAGGCTCAGAATTTGTCTGCTTACCTGCATTTGTTCCTGTAGAAGGACACAGTATCAGTGAAACTGTGAGGAGACAGTGGGCACAGTAGTACTGGGCTGGCACTCTCTGAGGTGAGGAGATGGGGAACACACTAAGTAACGGATGGATGTGAGGAGCAGACGATGAGCTGGGGTCCTAGGACAGAAGCTGATCATGGAATGAATTTATCCCCATTATGACAAGAGATCACCTGTGAGGACATGGTCATTTATTTCTCCCAGGAAGAGTGGGTTCTTTATTTTTATTTTATTTTTTGACAGGTAGAGTTAGTGAGAGAGAGAGAAAGGTCTTCTTTCTGTTGGTTCACTCCCCAAATGGCTGCTACGGCTGGCGCGCTGCACCGATCGGAAGCCAAGAGCCAGGTGCTTCCTCCTGGTCTCCAATGTGGGTTCAGGGCCCAAGCACTTGGGCCATCCTCCACTGCCTTCCTGGGCCACAGCAGAGAGCTGGACTGGAAGAGGAACAACCAGAACAGAACCGGCGCCCCAACCGGGACTAGAACCTGGAGTACCGGCGTCGCAGGCGGAGGATTAGCCTAGTGAGCCACAGCGCCTGCAAGAGTGGGTTCTTGATGATGCTCAGAGGCTGCTCCACTGTGACGTAACGCTGAGGAACTTCGTACTTCAGCGTCCCTGAGCAAGACCTTTGCTTCCCTCCTGAATGGTCACCTTGCTTGCCTTCTCCCTGTCGGGATGGCTGAGTGCAGATTCATGGTACCTCTGCCCTTGCTTTGGTCTCCGAGCTGCCATTTCCTTATGGCTGTCTGTGCAGAGAACTACAAGTATGGTTATACATGAATTTAAATGAACAAACCATAGCTGTGCTTTCACGAGCCTCGTGTGCCAAGTTGTTCTGGACCACTGCTAGTCACTCATTTGTCTTCTCTTTTTAATATTTGTGTCATTCATGTCTCATGTGATTGCCTGATGTGAGCTACAGGGAGAGAGCCCTGATTTCTTCACACGGTGGACATAAGATGGTCTCGGGGCAGCATTGTGGTATAGCAGGTAAAACCACTGTCTGTGATGACGGCATCCTATACGGGCAACTGTGTGTGTCCTAGCTGTTCCACTTCCAGTCCAGCTCCCTGCTAACGGCCTGGTGAAAGCAGCAGCAGATGGCCCAAGTACTTGGGTCCCTGCACCCACATGGGAGACCCAGTTGAAGCTCCTGGGTCCTGGTTTTGGCCTGGCCCAGCCCTGGCCATTGAGCCATCTGGGGAGTAAACCAGCAGATAGAAGATCTGTCTCTCTCTCCCTCTTTCTCTGTAACTGATTTTCAAAAAAATAAATAATTAAAAAAAGAGATGGTCTCAGGAGAGACTTCTTAAGAAGGGTAGATGGGCAGATGGGCTTTAGCTTGACATCTGGATTGGGTTCATATTGTATCAGGAACCTGTGATGTGTTCAGCAGTGTTATGGTGCAAGTGCCACTGGCTATACCTCATTTCTGCCTCTAACTCCACATATTTAATACTTCAGCAACTTGTTATTTTATCTGTGACTTCCAGCTCCAGACCTTTGTGGCCCGTGTGTATCACCTGATGTCACGCTGCTGTGCTCTTTGTTTTGACTCACTGTGTTGTGGTA